GACAGGTGGTTTCTGAATATTACATTGCTGAAGATTGCATGTAGGGTTGTACATATGTTTCTCACTGACAGGCAAGGTAAAGCTCCTCCAAGAGAGTCCTGTGCAATCTGCCGTGAGTTTTGTTGGATCTGAGGGTCTCATGAACTACAGCACCTTCGTCTGCCAGCTAATTAGAGGCCTATAGACAGAGGGAATGTGGGACAAAAGCAGGGAAGGGGGGGAGGCCCTACACTGCTGAAGCCTGATCTGGGTCTGCCCATCCCACATCTGCGGTGGGGTGCTGCAACAGGAGTGGGCAGGGAGGGCGATGCACTTGCCACAGGCATCTCTCATTGGGGTTGTCCCATCTCACCATCCTGCTAGGACTCACACAGAAGAGGCACCAAATGGGATCTGGTGCTGAACGACATTTGACGATGTTCAACATTGGTATCTCTCCGTTCCTATAGTTTCACCATTCTCTGATTTTGGAGAACCTCATCCTCAGTTATGGCAATTTAGAGGTGAGCATGAATACCAAATCTGGATGGGGAAGAAATATAATTCCCAGAATGAAGCAGAAAGCATCTGGCTGGTATCCTTCCACATCAAGGATTTTCTCTGAAGTTAAAATTATGGGGGTTTTTTCCTATAATAAGTTTTATGTTTTTCAGAAACAAAGTTAAAATATTACTGGTTTTTAAGGATCTGGATTTCATGGATGTTGAAGATCTGATACTTCACACGCTGTTGTTTTTTATAGACTGGATCCCTGTTCAGATTATGGCTCTTACAAATGTTCGAGGATCTCATTCCCTGTGTAGTGAAGTCATGTGGCCACAGAGCATGTTGGATTTAAATCCCACCTAGTGAAGTAGTTCAATCCACAGAAGATAACGCATCTGTAAGGCATTGCTACTCTTGTATAAGAATACCATGACAGCAGTTTAAAGTACTCAATGTCTTGGGTTTTGCATTTTCCATGAAAACCAGATACCAAGGGAAGAATTCACTTTATGCTAAAAAACTTACTTTTTTTTTCTGTTATAGAAATAAATGCAAAATTTTCACTTGGCTCTGATAAGGAGGTAGTTTTTGACTGTTCCCAGTGCTTACATTGCCAGTATACTAGTTTTTTCAGAGCATCACCAATAGGCTGCCTAGCTCTTTAGTGACTGTTAATGAAACTGTTGCAAAAGAAGGCTTTCTTTGTCTCTTTTCTGGAGCACATCCCTTTTAGGCTCCATTTGTTTTGAAATTCTTATCTCTTTTGGGGTGTGATTTCCTCTTCTAAAGCTTAGTTGGTATAATTTGCAGATGTACTTTAGACAAATAAAACCCATGTGTGGGTAGAAGGGGGTGAACGCACCAGCAGTCACAGCCAGTGGATTGACAACTTGTTGTGTGTGGTGCTGGAGGGCTTGTCCAGCTCGTGGGACTTCTTTGGAGGCCCAAGGAGGTGCTGTCCCCTTGCACTGTTACCTTTGAGGGATGTGTGTGGGAAGACATCAAGGCACCTCCCAGATGATACTAGAAGCAGGCCCTGTGCTGCATGAAGGCAGCTGTGGGGGAACCGCAAAACAGTGCTGGCATGTGTCGTGGTTTAGCCCCAGCTGACACCTAAGCCCCAAACATCTGCTCGCTTGTCTCCCCTCTGGTGGGATGGGGGAGAGGATTGGAAGAGTAAAAGTGAGAAACCTTGTGAGTTGAGATAAAGACAGTGTAATAGGTCAAGCAAAATCTGCGTGTGCAAGCAAAGCAAACCAAAGAATTAATTCAACCCTTCCCCTGGGCAGGCGGTTGCTCAGTCATCCCCATGACAGCCAGGGTCCATGATGTGTGACGGTGACTTGGGCAGTCAAACACCATTACTCTGAATGTCCCCCTTCCTTATTCTTCCCTCAGCTTTATGTGCTGAACATCCTGTCACGGGTGGAATGTCCCTTTGGTCAGTCGGGGTCAGCTGTCCTGGCTGTGTCCCCTCCCAACTTCTTGTGTCCCCCCAGCCTGCCCACTGGTGGGGTGGGGTGAAAGCAGAACAGGCCTTGACTCTGTGTAAGCATTGCTCAGCAGTAGCTAAAACATCCCTTTATTATCAACAATGTTTTAATCACAAATCCAAAACATAGCTGCATACCAGCTACTAAGAGGAAAATTAACTCTCTCCCAGCCAAAACCAGCACAGCATGCCAAGGAATGTAGCCTGAGCCAAGCATGAGTGTGGAAGACATGGCCTAATCAGAGGGTGCTCAATCCCGGTGCTGCCTCCCTCAGTGTGCCTGCACTCTGTCTCGTTTGGAGCAGCTCATGGGTCAGCCTCACCTTTTTAAGACCGATTTGTGCTTTTACTCCATCTGTAGACTGTTCAGTAAACCGTGAAGCTGGTGGTGGGATGATTCCTCTAAGATCCTTTCAGCTTGCTTTCACAAAACTTGACATTTTGTCTCGATGTACTGTTGGGTGCAAATATAGGTACGTCAAAACTTGTAGAATTTTTCCTCTCTTTCTGAACGCTGATGTTGTTGAAGCCTTTTTACACAGAATCACTTTGGGAGCTGTAAGGCTTGCGTAACACCACAGCCTAAATTTAAAGAAGTGCTGGGGAGGCATCATCTTTGACAGCCACTCAAGAGCTTAACGCTGTGTGTTTTGCTGTTTGTCTGGATGAATAAGTACAAGCATTGTTGTGCCCCATGAGTGCAAAGGTAGGCGCAGGGTTTATTGCCTTTAAGCTGCTTTCTCTGGAGCTTGTTGTTAGAGTTTTTCTTTCAAACATTCTGGAGAGATACTGTTGGAAATGAAGTTGCTTGGGGTGGTATAGAAGCGGGAATGGTCTCAGAGAGCCGGTGGGGATAAATTGGGCCAAAGGCTTATCTACTAAAAGTCTCTTTATGTATAGTTCATGTCAATTTAATGGAGTAAACTAAAGGACTGTCTAATCACTTGTAGGTGACAGTTCAGGGTACTCCTGCATAGTTTATTTACTCACCATGGTCTTGAGAGCAAAATTGCTTGGGGCTCCTTGCTGATGTGAGCCTTTCCTTCTTTACCTCTCAATAGTCTCTTGGAAACAAGCGTTTTCCTTCAAACTAGTCGATTTTACTTACTAGTGCTTCCTTACAGTCCTTCCTTTCCCGTTGAGCCCTTGAGCCACGGTGATTAGGGTGTGCTATGTTGTCCTTGTATTGGACATTTATCCTACGCCACTTTGCCTTTCACCCAAGATGTGAAGGGGGCAGAGGCTAAGGGGAGATGTAACCCAGGTATAAGATTCAAACTACTCTTTAACAGAAGTACATGAGAGAAAAGTGTAGAGGAAAATCAATCTGGGTGGTGTGATTACACCAATACAAGTGTGTCTCAGCACTCTTGAATGTATACAGTCCACTTAAACACAAGACCATTCAGTCATTGCATTCAGAAGGATATTATTTCTTTCTGCCTTATCTACTGAAAGCCCCTGTCTCCATTGCCATCTTTATGACCTTGCTTTTCTGGAGTGCACAGGTGTGTGGCTAAATCTGGGCGTATACGCTATCTCACCGGAGCCAGGGGGATCAGAGGGGGGCAAAGTCCTGAGCTGAATTGTGCAAAGTTTCGGTAATGAAGTGGGAAGATCATTTACCTCCACGGGGGGGAGCAGAGCGTTTTGGGAGCTCTAGTGAAGATAATGATGGGCGTTTCAGTGTGTGTGCTGGTGTTAGTGAGGAATTTGATGATGTAGACCCAAGTTTTACAGTCATGCTTACACTGATTAGCACTTCCTGTGAAAAACACCTGCTGAAGTCCGCAGGCTGTTTCATGAAGAAGTGCAACCTGGCAGCTGTGGGTGGGTTTGTGAGGTGCAGCGTGCATGTACAGTGCAGTGTGAGTGACTGCAGTGCCAGCTCCCAGTGGGGGTGACAAGGTGGGTTCCTGGCACTGTGGCACAGAAAAATGTTTCATTCCCTCCTGCAGTAGCATTTAGTGAAATATTTCAGCAATCAAAATTATTTTACTGCATTTTGTGTGCATTAGGTATTTGCCAGTGTTTTCTGTAGAAGGAATGGATTTGGACATTTTCTCCAGGAAGTAAAGATTTGTCAGAGCTGAATAAGGTAGGACAGGCTTTTAGGAAAATGAAAAGTAATGCAATCTTTGCTTCTCCTTTCTTACTAATTCCTGCATTTCTGCAAAGATGGATGGAAAACTCATGAAGAAGTTCTGAAGACTTCTGAAGAAGCTAATGCAGAGAAGCTGGAAAGACTTGTCCCAGGAAAATGACTGTGATTATGAAGATATTTGCTATCTTACTATACTGGAAGAATAAAAAGAAAAATATTCTTGTAGTTTTCTTTAGTATTATGTATTTGTTTCCATAGTAATTTCAATGTCAAAAAATGGGCATATATAAGACCATATAACATGTACAACTTGACAACAAAGAGGAAAACACATGACAAAATACTACTGGAATATGTTGGATAACCAGATATCTTAAGTGGGTCTTCTGGGTGTTTATCAATCTCCTTGTTTTTGAGGTGTTGAGGAAATACGCCTTTTGGTTTATGTAGCTGATTCTGTAATGTCCAATGGAAGCATCCTCTGTAGACTTACCAGTCCTTTCCAGCTGTAACAACCCTTGTTTTGTGTCCTGGTTAGGAGCTGTAGGAAGCCTCTTTGTTGGTTTTCAGTCAACTGCTAGGTCACTTTGCTGCCTGACAAAGGCAGCAGCAGAACAAGCTTACTTTAAGAGTATTAATTCATTATAAATTCTAAGAAGTGCCTTCTCTTTCTAACAAAAATAAGTTTACACTTGAGAAAGCAGTGTATGCCAAAACTTTAATGTCAGAGGAAAGATTTTGCTAACTTCTCCCTGCTAAGCTGCATGGTAGCTGTAAAGAATTTCCTTCTGTTTTGGGGAAATCACGGTCTCTTGTGTGATCTGGGTTTGGCAAGATAATTCCTTGTCTGTCGCATTCTATATTCCTGGGCAGCATTTTATGAAAACATGGCTCTGAGTCTACCTGAGAGGCCAGTCATACTTGCCAAGGCACCAAACGGGTGACAGATGAATGATGAAATAAAAGCCTGAGCAACAGCATCCATTGTCTGAGAGAGATAGCGCTGAAGGAATCAGGTGTTGCAGACAGGGATGCTTTGTTATCTGGGGGCTGCTCTGCTGGGGCACCAGTGGGCTGGTGAGGAAGGAGCACAGGTGTGTTAGTTATATTTGAGGGAAAGAGTGCTATAATCTGTCTGCTGTAGAGTGCAGGCATGCCATCAGTTGCCATCATTCAGTATCACAGCAGGACACTGTATGTGGTAACTGGTGTCGAAGGAGGCTTCGGGGAGAGTGACATCTGCAATCAGTTAACCTCCTCTTCCTTTCACCCTCTGTACAAGGCATTCAAAAGCTCAGTTGAAGGAAAACTTCCTTCTTTTTGGAGAAAAAAAAAAAAAACCAACCCAAAACAAAAACAAACAAAAACCCAAACCAAACCAAAAACCAAACAAAAAAAAAAAAAAAACCCAAACCAAATCAGCTAACAATTACCAGCTTCCTAGATTGAAGTTTTCATAACTGCCCTGAATGGCCATAAGATGATCCTCTCCCCCAAAACAAGTGCTAAGAGTAAACAACTGGCCAGTGTGCCAGATGCGTTCCCTGATAAGCCTGTGATAGGCAGAAAGCAGACTGCCTTGGGCTGTCTATTACAAGGCAGAATGTAAATAATTTTTCTCAGATTAGCAGCGTCTGAAATGTGGAAGCTCCAAATGCATTCACTTGCTTTGAAAGAGGGCGACAAAGAGTAACGGCAGAGGCACTGCAAGTTTCCTGGCTTGGTCAGTATAACTTAAAATTGCCTTTTCTTGGTAATGTCATCTCTTATCCTGGGGGCACATTCTTTGGGGGATAGTGTGCATCAGTGGGGACATGCAGGAAAAGTTACCAGGTGCTTTGGCAAAAAGATATCACTGCTAATGGAGACCGTAACTCTGCAATATACACAGAGGACAAAGTAGTTTAGTTACAGAAAACCAGCAATAACTCCTCTGCCTTTTCTAAGCTTCAGGAAATCTTGTTTTATGTCCCATCTTTCACCTCAGACAAGTAGTTTAGCCACAGGAAAAGAAAATCCTCTTTTTATTTTATTTGAACTATCCCGAGTTATTGACACTTAGAATTTTATTCATCCAGTATCAAGCCACAGCAAAAAAACAGAACAAAGTAACTTTAGTATTCCGGCCCTCATGTTGTAGCAAAAATATCAAAGTCACAGGAAGGAGAGTGTTCTAGTTACTTGTGTGATGTCCTCGTATTCCCCAAGCCTCTGTTTCAGCACTTTACAGCTGCAAAAAGCTGCATTTGGAAAGTTTGGAAGTTGCAGATTTTTGCAGAGAAGTAGCAAATCCATCAAGTTAAAGCGTGCTCAACCTCCTTTCTAAGTGATGTTTTCAAACTAATTGTAATTAATTAACTAGCATATTCTTTTTATGCTTTTGTGTCAACAAGTACAGTATCCAAATCAGCAGGCATAGTGGAACAAAGTAAATTTTGATATGTTACCCAGATGAAAAGTTTGCTTCAGTCTCATTGGGTAGGTTTGCTAAGACTGGCTCTGTTTCATGGACCACACAACAGTTTATTTGCCTGCGCTTTCCCTTAGGCCCCCCAAATTAAAATTTCTACTGCAGAAATGTAGTAAGTGCAGTAAACAATAACCGCTCTTGCTTCCTTTCATCCCAAAAATAAGGTTAACAAAGCCTGGGAAATTGGTTGAACCAGATGGTGAATGTTGAATTGCAGAAGCATGTGCAAAGCGGTGAGAGAGCCTTTTTTTTGAGAAATTAAACCTTTCCTGTGTAATGTTTTCCCTTGCTCTGAGCAGATAGTGGCTGCATGTCTTGTAGTTGTACTTTCAGTGCAGAACAGCAGCCTGTGGTGGTGTGTCCACTATTTCCTGAAAACTAGGGAGTAGCCCTCACTGAAAAACCGAAACAAATGTGAAATTAAGTTAATTGAGTGTGTGCATAACACCTGTGCTATTACCCACATTTAGCATGCTGACTTCTGCTTTCGTTCTTTGGGGGGAAAAAAAAAAAAGCAACCTAAAAAAGTGATTAGTCTGGCTTTGCTTGGCATTTGATTACTTCAGTAATAAATATTTATGTCCTTCTCCAATACACACGTATCATCTTTACATTGTATTAAGCGGCAAGACGATCAATATTTAATTTTATGCAAGCCCTAAGCAAAACATGCAGTTAATGAAGTTGACATTCTTGCCAGATAGCCGTTAGGGATTAGTGCTTGTATTTTAGCCAGCGTAATGAACTCGTATCTTGTAGACCTGATGAGTTTCTAACTATTTCCTGCAGTTTAAGCAGCTCTTTAAGATGGAGGGACATTGGTTATTATTTATCATTGTAAGATATATATTTTTTGAAACCGATGCAATGTGCGTTCTTCTGAAAATGGTGATTTTTCCAGAGGATGTATGCCACCTCCCATCCTCTTCCCTGACCCGTGGAAACGCCTGATGGATATTTCAAACAAAGTCCACCCAAATGCATAACAATGCCACTTATTAATACAAGTGGAACAGAGAGACTAAACCTTGGTGATCTTCAGGACAGGTTTTAATCCGTCAATAGACTCCACCTAATCCCCCTCGCCGTAATTCTGGCGGGTGAGCCGACCTTCTGTGTTTACTTTGTCCTGTCCCGAGGTGAGCATGGCGCTGCCCACCGGCAGAGATCAGGGCGGGCGCAGCGCCGGCGGGGACCCGCTGTGCTCCCTGTCCTCCGCACCCAACAGCCCGAGCCTGCGGCCGGGGGAGAGGGGTCTCACTGTCGGTGCGGGTCCTCTGTGAGGTGCGAGGCCTCCAGATCTGCGGTGGAGGTTTCTGCTGTTCGGCCAGCCAGCCCCTTGCATGCGCGAAGGGGGTTCCCAGAAACCAGAGATGCTGAATTGCACGAGCTGGAGATCATTTGGTATCTTGCAGAAGCCCTTTGCCTCCCCTCCTTGCATTATTCATGTCGGATAATGAAGAAGTCAGTGTTGGAGAGGTCAGAAGTGCAAAAGAGCTTGATGTAAGGACTGGAGAAAGATCAAAAGATGGAAAGAACTGAAATAACATGACAGCTATAGGAGCTGTAAAGGAAAGGTGGTTGAGCTTCTGAAGTGTGATGAGGGAGGACGTATGCTCTGTGTCCAGCGGGGCAGGAGGGCTTGATAACCTGTTTTTGCTTTTCTCTTCGTATGAAAAGTACATCAGAAATGAGCTTGACTTGCTGTAGTTCTTGGTGTGGCTAGATGCAGTTTATTACTAAGAATCTGTATCTATAATCACTGGCAATTTACGGAAAGAAAAAAGCTTTCACCCTAGTTCAGCCATCCAGGCCGGAAAAACAAGGTCCGTTTTAGTGAAATTCCAGGTGTGACAAGCTGAAACTGCTTCCTTACTTAGCATGATATTTCTCATAGATAAAACATTGTAGTATTTTTAAGATTACCTTTCTTCGAACATGCACATCAGAGCTAAGCTGCAGCTGTGTCATGTGCTAATGCCTGAAGGGTGTGAGCGATGCTGCACAGCCAGGTTCTGCAAGGTTTCCTTTAATCTGCAAAGAATGATCTGAAAAAGTTAACAAAATGGTAAATAAAGCTGACCTGGAGGCTGTAACTTACTTGGATATTCAAAATGGAAGCCTCTCTTAAAAGAAGCTATTCTGAAAAATGAATAACCACAGAGGAAGAAGGCAAGTTAGCTGGAAACCAGGAATTCGTTTTGTGATAAGCAGAGTAGAGAGTCACTGTGATCATGGAGTAAGTTCTGGAGATGTTAAGTGTGCTATTGCAGGTGGGTAATCCAAGGCCAGGACTGATACAACCGGATCTGAGGGAGATCTGAAAAGATCTCTCTGAAAGTGACGTTAATATATGGCTGAGCCAGAGCGTGTAATGAATTAGCATATGCATGGTGTGCAGGGAATTTTTATTCTGGAAGTAGAAGAGCCAGAGATCTTGACGAGAAAGAGGGGGGGAAAAAAAAAATCCATTCTTCAGTCTGACCAGTCAGATTGCTTCTGCCAAAGTGAAATTTAAATACTATATGAAAGAAGTTGTTTGAAGTCAAAACTATAGGAGGTCTGGCTGGTGTTTTCCTCACAGCGAGTTCCCTAGTTAAATATCTAAACCGTAGCTTGATTATGGTAATGATATGATCACCACTAACACAGCATTGGTGCAGACTGAGGTAATAACCCTAGCTGAAGTTCGCGACTTGAAAGACCGTGGTGGGTGTTAGGAAGTAAGTTTCTCTTTTGTGTTCAGGCCAGCACCAGGTGTTTAATTGGATACTTCTACTTTCTGCAGAAACATAGATGGGGCCACAGTGAGTTGCAAGATACCCAGTTAGATGGGCCAGTTATCTTTTATGGCAAATTTTATATTCCTATACAGAGTTTTGCATGTTTTGTGTATGCTTGTATAGGTTTCCTGCCCACATTATGGTATGGCAATGACGTGAGTCTGCATCTTCCACTTGTCTTTTTTCCATGTCAGAAAGCTTTCTTTCAAAGGCCTTTTAGATCTCTAGATCCTTTATTTCTCCTTTTTAGCTTCTGCCCTGATATATGCTATCAGGTTTCCCAGACTGCTCTGGCTTTGTATTCTGGCAGAGTTGCTCTGCATGTATCTGCCGCCTGTCCGTCTTTTCATCAGTGAATCCAGCCTGTGCTTCCTCCCATGTTTTGTCCCAACATGTCTTGTCATTCCTCCATAATGACAGTAGCTTTTTTTATGTTTCTTTTTACTTCTGGCTCCGCTCAGCGCTTGTGATCAAGCCAGTGTGAAAGCACTTGCCCCTTCTTTGATCCCAGTGTGTTCCCTGGAAGTGTCCTTATCTACCTTTGCTGCATGGGTTCTTAGTTCCTGTCCATTGTTTTGCTGCTGAAAGCCTCGTTCACCAGTTAAAAAAGTCCCAGATCACAGTTGTAGCTGTAGCTTGGCACATTAGCGAGCTGGTTTTTCTGTATCTATCGTTTTCCCTGCCTGCCCTCTACCTTCCTTGGTTCTGGCTGTTCAAGTCGAGAAAGGGATCTCATGTCGTGCCTCCCCAGGTCCTTATCACAGACTCCGCTGTAGCAGTCGAAGTTAAGAAGTATAGATTTGTAACCTGCAGTATTTTAAGTGGTGTAACTTTTAGTTTTTTAAAAATAAAGACCACTGTAGAGACTGCTTCTTTTGTTAGTACTTCTCATCTTTCCTGATCCCGTTCTTGGTGTTACTTGTATTTTCTTAAGGCATCTCTGTAGAACAGCTTAAGCTGGTTCAACTCGTGCTAAAGGCAGAATCCTGTATCTTTCCATTTCACAGCTTGTGTTATTTCAGTGGCAGGTTTTAACAAGGCAAATTAAATTAGAAAAATCAAGTATTTTAATCAGGGTAGTTTTTGTAATTTAGGTTTAGAAATGTGGTGAATAATTTAAAACCCCCAGATTTATGCTTACCATTTTCTGCTGTTAATTGTTTTACTTTTATTACATAGAGGAAGAAATGTCACTATTTTTCTGGTGATGCCCTGTATCGGGAGAGCAGATAGAACTCAACCCATTGAACATGTTTTTAAATGATATCCTAGTTTAAAGCTGTAGTCAGTTCCATTTCAGATCTTGTGTGTGTCCCTAGCTTGGTTGCATAGATGGCAGGAGAATGTGCTGCTAAAAAATGAAATTAATGTTTTTCACCTTTTTTTTTTGCCATAGATCTGGGAGGAATTAGTCCAAGATTCAGATTTGCTGTATATGAATTTGAATTGTAAGGATCCATTTCATCATAC